GGATGATGAATGGGAAAATAAAAACCTACACCAAGACACATTATAGAACTATTGTAGACTACTGGATAGTGCTTCAGAAAGAGAATCCACATTGAAGGGTGTAGGGTTGGATGCTGTCACTGAATTTTGCAGGAAGATAATGTCCAACCCCAAATCTTTTCTTAATTAAATTACTCTAGAACGAGGGTACAATAGGGACTTGTTCAGAATGTAGGGCCTCAAAAAATATATGTTCCATGTACCTGTTCTCAGAAAGCTGTGGAGGGATAATAAAATGAAGCAGTAAGCCAAAAAATGGGACCTGGGAGCAGGAGATCCAGCCAGGAGGGGGACCAGAGACTTCCCCGATGCTGACAGAGGGGTTGAACACTCACTGTGCATCAGTCCAGCCAGAGCAGGATGGTGTGAGACTCCAGGGTGACGTCTGCGCAAAGAAAAGTGTAAAATTGACTGGAGAGGTGTTATATAAAGAGCCATTGGAGGGTGTGGGAAAACTTAGCCAGAAATTTAAGGAAATCCAAGTAAACAGAGGAGGGAAAAAGGAGCAGTTAATTCCTGGAAAAAGTTGTATAAGGACAAAAGTAACCATAATGCATCCATTTTTTTAATATTGAAACTTTAAAAAATTTTCATAATACATAACTTGATTCAGCAGCAATCGGTATTTACATAGTCACGTAATAATGAGAACACTGGTGGGGTTGAGCAGAGAGCAACGTAACCAGATTTAACCAATTTACATTAAAAAATCAATTATTGAAGTATAACTGAAGTATTACATAAAATAAAATGAACCCCTTTTAGGTGTACAGTTTGATGAATTTTGACAAATGTAGGCAGCCGTGTAACCACTGTCTCAGGCCAGTATAGACCACTTCAGTCACCCAAAGGGATCGCTTGTGCCCTTTCCCAAGTCAGTTAGTACTCCCTGCTTCTTGGGCCCAGGCAACCACTGATCTGCTTTCTGTCACTTTAGATGAGATTTATCTTTTCCAGAGTTTTATGTAAATGGAATCGTGCCACACGCGCTTCTCTGTGTCTGGCTTTCACTCAGCAGAACGTTACTGAGGTTCATCCATGTGGTCGCACCATCAGCAGTTCTTTTTGATTGCTGAGGGGTATTTTGTTGTGTGGATGTGCCGCCGTTAGTTCATCCATTCACCTGGATTTAAGTTTTAAAGGGACCCTGTGGAATAGATGCCAGGGGCCAGAGTAGAAGCAGGAAGGCCCGTCTCAGGTGGTCCAGGAAAGAGATGCAAGTGTCTCGTCACACCAGCCCGGGTGCCGTTCCCCAGACACGCCAAGCACATCCTCACCTTAGGGCCTCTGGACCTGCTGGCCAGGTGTCCCTTCTCACTTCATTCAGGCCTCTGCTCACCTGTCACCCCCTCCCCACCCCTGCACTCTTGTCCCCTCTCCTCACATTGTGTTTCTTCTTTGCCCTTATGGTCACTGTCCTCAGACCTCTTTGTACGCTCACTGTCTGCTGCCCCCACCAGAGTGCAAGCTTCGTGGTGACAGTGTATAGAATGTCCACGTTTTGTGAATATTTGTGAAGGGACTCAGTGTGGCTTCCTAAGAACAAGGTTTGTGTCTGTCACCTTTGTCACTCTGTGCTCAGCACATAGAAGTGCCAGGTATGTTCCTGGATGACGGGGAGGCAGTCGGGGCTAAAGCTGTGAATGTTAGATTTCCACCAGGACATGCCCTTCAGGCGGCTCCAGGTGGATTCAGGGGCCTTCAAAGTGATGACCCGGGGTGAGCAGGGTGTGGCGGTGAGCAGTCTTGGAGGCTGCAGGCAGGGAGGCCGCCACTATATGGAGTGTCACAGGAGGCCTGTGCCCCCCATCCCCTGATTCTAATTTGAAAGCTTCTCTTGGTGTGTAGGGGAACCAGGTGGGACCCTCCTCGCCACCCTGAAAAGCCTTCTGACCACTGACCTTTGCATGCCCTGTGTCTCTTCTCCCCCTGCTCGGACTCACCAGCATAATTCAGGAGCAAGCCGCCTCTTACAAGGGTTGCCCAGCTGGTGGGAACATCCCAGAACAAAGTTAAAGAGACCATTAGCAGCTGTTGATCGATCTGGGCGCAGACTGACTGTGCTTGTGGCAACAATAGAACTTAATTAAAACCGGCTGGCTTGGCGGCTACCGGGAGGCTGCCTTGATCTCTGTAGCTTCCAGGTGGCCACTCATGTGCTGCAGACACATCCTGAAATTTGAGGTTTGTTTCTGGGTGACATGCCTGCTGTGGTGGTTGGATGATAGTTGTATAGATTTTCCTCTGAAACTTAATTCCACAAACTGTCAAAACAGGCTTGTTATATTTCTCTCTGAAATCATTAGGGGATAATACTTAGACCCAGAACGGTTTTAAATGTTTCTGTATTAATAATAATTTTTAGCTTGAAACCACTGCTGATCATTGGTCCTTGGGACTGGTGTTTAGAACTGTCTTAGGAGGTTCTAAATAAAAAGGCACCTCCATGCTTGGCTAGAGGCCAGTTTTTGGCACTGTCCCATTGCTTCGTTGTAGGTAAACAGCAGCGGCAGGATGGTTTAGCCTGGAGACTTGATTTGGGCCTCGTGGGTGGACATGGGAGGACAGTGAGCCTCTGTGGGGAGCTCCCTGTGCGGGCTCTGTTCCGATCGCTTCGCTGTGTGAACCTGCTTAATCACAGCAGTAGGTGCGGCTGCTCTCCCATCCTGCGGAGGAGGACACCAAGTCACTAGGCCAGAGGGAAGGAGCCAGTCGGTTCTGGAACCAGGATCGGAGCCCAGACAGTCTGACACCAGAACCTGCTCTTTTAAGCACTCGCTCATACTGCTTCCGTTTACTAAGCATCTATTTCACATCATGTCCCGACCAGATTAGGTACTAGCCCAACTCGACCCTCACACTGGGTGTGATTCACGGTATTGAAGAGGAAACCAAGGCTTCGAGAATTAAGAATTTGCCCCAGCTCACTTCTCCCCTCCCCTTCCCTCACCCCATCTTTCTTTTACGCATATTTACTGAGAGCTCAGTGTGGATCAGGCACTGTTCTAGGCCCTGGGGTTACCCCGGCAGTGAAGGTGGTTGTCAGAAGGCAGATGTGTTTCATATTCTCATGATGCTTAAATTGCAGTGGAAACCCACATACAGTGAACCAATAAATAAGAAAATGCCAGATAGTAAGTACCAGGCAGAGAATTAAAATAAGGTGATGTGATGGGGTGAGGGGTCACTTCCTTAGACAGTTCTTAGGGAGGCCTCTGCAGGGCAGTGACATCTCAGCCGAGATCTGGATGACACGTGAGCCAAACGTGGGAAGACCAGAAGAACATTCCAGGCAGAGGGGGCACCTACAAATGCCTCAGGGTGTGACTTGTGGGGAAAGGGGGCCAGTGGGACAGACGGTAGATCATGGCGGCCTTGGTGAGCCCTAGTGGAAACTTTGGGTTTTATTTGTAAGCAGAATGAGAGGGTGTTGGATGGTTTTAATCAGGGAGTAATGTGATTTGATTTTTGTTTGTAAGGGATTGTGTTGTGTGCTGGGTGGTGATTGGATTGTGGAGGCCAGTGTGGCAGCAGGGAGCTCTTTGGACGCTGTTGCTATGGTCCTGGTAAAAGTATTGTGGTGGTGGATACGGAGAAAGGAGTCCATGGGTTTGGGTGTATTTTGGAAGAAGAGACGGCTTGACTGGCTGATGAGTTTGTTGTAGGGAGCTGAGGGAGAGGTGAATCTGGCCTGGGCCACTAGGTAGATAATGATGCAGTTTACTAAAACTGAACGAGCTGGGGTGAAGCAGCTTGCAGGGGGATCTGTTTTAGACACACTGAGTTTGTGTACCTCCTGGTTGGCCTGTCAGGTAGGCGTCCCCACGTTGGAGTTGAATTCCGCAGTCACAGGGCTGGAGAGCTGGGGTTGGGAGTCTGTGGCCTGTTGCTGATACTGAACACCGTGGAACTGGAGATGACCTTGGAGAGGAAGTAGATGGAGGGGAGGACCAGGTCCTGGGGTGTGCCAGCATTTATTGGTTGAGCTGAAAGGGCCAGCCAGTGAAAGAGAAGGAAGACCAGACGTGTGCCGTGTAAGGGAAGCCAAAAGAAGAAATGTTACCAGGAAGAGGAGGTGGGTGGGATGCTGCCAGTGAATTCAGGACAGAGGACACGGAGGATTCGGAAGGCCAAGGCCACTGCTCAGCCTGTGCAGAGCCATTTCAGGCAGGCCTGGTTGGAAGGAGTTGAAGATGAAATGTCAGGTGTGGAAGGGGACCCAGAGCCTGCAGAGCAGGTACAGAGGGCTGGCAGAGTGGGCGACACAGGGTGGGTTGGGGTGGGGGTGGCGGTTTGGATGGTGAGAGGATGAGGGGCCTCCCATCCAGCTGCCTCCAGTTTTCTCCTGATGAAGAGGCAAGTTGGCCAGGTGGGCGCCCGTAGGGTGGGAGGTGTGCTGGGTCTGGAGCTAGGAGACAGTGCCGTGTGGTCCGTTTGGAGAGGGCAAGTAAACTCATGAGGAGCTTGCGGCGGGACTGTGTTCTCTGGCCGGGGAGTGGGGGAGGCAGGGAAGCAGCCGGGTGGCAGATTCATGGGTGTCACCAGGGCCGGGGGTTTTGCAGGTGGTAACAGTGGAGAGAGGGACTCCAGCGTGGGTTGGGGGCTGCAGGGTTGCAGTCTCTGTCTCTACCCAGCCCTGCTGCCAGGGTGACCATTCCCACCTCCTCCTCCGCCCACTGCCCACCCCACCCCTAGCAGACCCGGGGGCTTCTGTGACCGGCAGGCCTGATGAGCACCCCTGGCAGCAACCCCCTTCCTGTTTCTGAATGTCTTGTCTTTGGTTAATTCAGGATCCCAGCGAGAAAGGAGACAGTGGCAGGGAGTCTCCAAGTCAGCTGAAGCCCATGTCAGCGTGGGGGCCGTTGATGCTGTGTCTCCAGATCTGCTGGAGAGATTCAGCATACAAACCAATGAAGTGAACGCTGCCACGCCTGAGTGGTACCTTTTCTTTTCCTCCCTAGGTTTTGGAGAAGTCCTCTGGTCAAGGACTTGCCAGAGCCCCTGGTGAGATCCTGAGCTGCCATCTCTTCCTAGGATGTGTCTTTGCAGCTCCTGACTTGCTCCTCCCAGCCTCCCTTCCGGCTTTGTCCCACGTTGACCCTTCCATGTGGGAAATACCCCTTTTTATCCCTCTCGGATGCTTTCTTGATTAAAGAATATCACCCAGCAAACCCGCCCCACCCAGCTGAGGATCTAGAGGCTGAGACCTCGAAGGATGTAGCTTCACTGCCCATCTCATCCTGCCTCTGAGGCGGGGGGCTGGGGCATTTGGGGGGCAAGGGGTGGGTCCTCGGGAGACAAGCCTGGTCCCTCCACGACTCAATCTTCTGCTTTCCAGCTTGTACGCAGCTCACTCCTAAAGCTTCTGGTGACCCCCGGGAGACAGAGAAACCGAGGACGAGCTTCTTTGCAGTTCCCATGGAAATGAGGTGAGCGGAGGTGTGGAGAGACTGCAACATCACTCAGTCCCGACAGGGCGGGGACAGGGATGGTGCTGGGGCAGGGGATAGAGCTTTCAGGAACTCCTGCATCAGACCCAGGCTCTGAAGCTGTGACCCACAGTGAGTTAAGAAAATCCATTTCCATTTCATTACAGTGAAGGCCTGTGACTCCCCAACCCTGGATGCCGTGAGATCGGCATGTCCACCACACCTTCTGCTTTAACAGCGGACTCCATTCTTAATGTCAGGGGTGCCACATCAAGGCTTTTGCCTGTCTCTCTGCAGTTTCCTGGTGTGTTTTTGTTTCCCTCCGCTGCTCCTCCTTCTCAGACTTTCCAGAACACGGCGCTTCCTTTGCTCTGCGTTATAATTACTCGGGCACTTGTCCCCACCCCAGGCAGGGTCACAGCCCTCCTGTCAGGGTGCCTCTCCTGCCTGTGGCCTGCCCAGCATCCTCCAGGACAGGGGTGGGTCGAATCGCTCCTGCACTCACCCCTCTCCTTTGTGCCCTGCTCTTCCCACAGAGGGTCCTTCTTGGTGCTGCTCCTGAGGGAATGCTTCCGAGACCTGGGCTGGCTAGCCACCGTCCACAACATCAGCGGGGAGGTGGGGCTGCTGGTGACCAGTATTGTCCCTCAGACCCCCTTCTTCTGGGCCATGGTCGTCACTGAGGTACGGGCTTGTTGGGGGCCCTCCTGAGCTCCGGGGCCTCCTCAAGGAGCCCTCCTGGGGCGAGCCTGGTGCCGGGGGCCCATCCCATCAGCTGCGGACATCCAGAGTGGCCCAAGTCTGATCCCTGGTTTCAGTCTCGTTCTCTCTCCCACCTCATACCGTCGGCTCCCCTGGGGCCAATCGGTGGTGTGGATGCAGCAGGTGACATCTGCAGAGACAGATGTGTGATGAGAGGCCCGCGGTGAGGCCTGTTGCGTCTGTACCGTCTGCAGACCCTGCTCCAGAACATGCAGGCGCTGTTCAGTGCCCTGGCCGAGGCTGAGGAGCAGCAGCCCTACCTGCACGACTCAGCCGTGCGGCGCGGGACCCGCTGCCTGGCCGAGTACCACCTGGGCGATTACGGCCGGGCCTGGAACAGGTGTGTGTCCGGGCGGAGCTGGAGGGTATAGGAGAGGCCTGGGCTCTCCTACCTCAAGGCTGGGAAACAGAGGAAACTCCTCTCCTCCTGGCCCAGACCTTCAAGCCCTGTCTGTGAGGCCTGCTGTGTGTGGCAGCAGCCGGAACAACCCCCGTCGTCTTCCCTCTGGCCAGGTGCTGGGTGCTGGACCGAGTGGACTCCTGGGCTGTGGTCATGTTCATCGACTTTGGCCGTTTGGCCACCATCCCGGTACAGTCCCTGCGCAGCCTGGATAGTGACAGCTTCTGGACCATCCCCCCTCTGACTCAGCCATTCATGCTGGAGAAAAGTAAGACACCCTCCACCCTCCACCCTCCTCTTGAGGACCTGGGGCTGGGAGACGCGAGGCCGCCTCTGAGACTTCAGTGAGAATGGCTTGGGGGAGGGCAGCGGAGGCCCTCAGGATGCCTGCCCTTCATCCAGCCTCTATTCTTTTGATTTTGCCCCCCGTTTTTGGCATCTGCCCCTTGCAAAGCTGCTCCTTAAGTACTGGTTTTCACACCTGGTCTCTGTGAGCCCCAAGATCCTAAGAGGGGCCTCAGGTGCTGCCCGTGCTGCCCAAAGGCTGAGTTCTCTTGCGGGGGTGAGAGGAGGGCAGGCCTCCCACCCTTGCTCCTGCTGGAGTCGCTCAGCTTCCATCTGTTTCACGTACACTGAGTTTTGCTTAAGATTTCTTTGGAGAAAGATTCTGTTGTAGAAGAAATCTGAAATTTGAAGACCAGTGATAGAGGTTAGAGCACTGGACTCAGGGTCTTCTGATAACGCTGTCTGTTACTTTATTTTTTTCTGTATTTTTAATTGAAGTATAGTTGAATTACAGTGTTGTGTTAGTTTTAGGTGTACAGCAAAGTGATGCAGTTATACATACATATAGTTTTTCAGGTTCTTTTCCATTATATGTTGTTAACAAGGTATTGACTGTAGTTCCCCGTATTATCCAGTAGGTCCTTATTGTTTATTTTATATATAGTTAGTATCTGTATCTGTTAATCCCATAGTCCTAATTTATCCCTCTCTCCCTCCTTTACCTTTTGGTAACCATACTTTGTTTTATGTGTGTGAGTCTGTTTCTGTTTTGTAAATTTCATTTGTACTATTTTTTAGATTCCACATATAAGTGATATTTGTCTTTTTCTGTCTGACAACTCAGTATGATAATCTCTAGGTCCATCCATATTGCTGCAAATGGCAATATTCCATTCTTTTTATAGCTAATATTTCATTGTGTATATATACCAAATTTTCTTTATCCATTCATCTGTCAGTGGACCCTTAGGTTGCTTCCCTGCCTTGGCTATTGTAAATAGTGCTGCTGTGAACATTAGGGTGCATGGATCTTTTCAAGTTAGGAGTTTTTGTCTTTTCTAGATGTATGCCCAGGAATGGGATTGCTGGGTCATATGGTAACTCTATATTTAGTTTTTTAAGGAACCTCCACACTTAAGTGTGGCTGCACCAATTTACATTCCCACCAGCAGGGTAGGAGGGTTCCCTTTCCTCCACATCCTCTCCAGCATTTGTTATTTGTAGACTTTCTGATGGTGGCCATTCTGACCTATGTAAGGTAATACCTCATTGCAGTTTTGATTTGCAGTTTTGTAATAATTAGCAATGTTGAGCATCTTTTCTTGTGCCTGTTGGCCATCTGGATATCTTCTTTGGAGAAATGTCTATTTAGATCTTCTGCCCTTTTTTTGATTGGGTGGTTGGTTTTTTTGATACTGAGCTATATGAGCTGTTTGTATATTTTGAAAATTAACCCCTTGTCAGTTGCATTGTTTGCAAATTTCATCCCAGTCTGTAGGTTGTCTTTCATTTGCTGTATGGTTTTCTTTGTTGCGCAAAAGCTTTTAAGTTCAATTAAGTCTCATTTGTTTATGTTTGCTTTTATTTCTTTTGCCTTGGAGGACTGACCTAAGAAACTATTGCTGTGATTTATGTCAGAGAATGTTTTGCCTGTGTGCTCTTCGAGGAGCTTTATGGTATCGTCTATGTGTAAGTCTTTAAACCACTTTGAGCTTATAGTGGTGTGAGGTGTCCATTACTTAGATCCAGACACTTTCGGGGCCTCAGTTTCTGCAACCTTGAAATGGCAAGGCCTCTTCTTTGCTGTGTCCCTTCTCAAGACTAGGGTTAGATGAAATGTGAAAAGAGGAAAGAGTGCTTGGGTGGGGGGTGGGGGTCAGGAGGAAAAGTGGAGGTGAAAACACACGCAGAGTAAGATGGAAAAGCACCTCCCCAAAGTGCAGGGCCAGGCCTCCCTGTTAGGCTGATGGGCTTGTGCCCAGTGATCAGGGGGCACCACCCAGAGGTCGTCCTGGGTCATTGCATGAAGAGGGCCCCTGCCGCCCAGCCTGGGGAGTAACAGGCCAGCGGACAGGGCTTGGGAGCTTCCTGTAGGCTGAACCTGACTGCTTGGCTGTTGGAGCCTGGCCTAGAGTAAGAGCCCCCTGCCCCAAAGAGCAGCCCCACCCAGCCTGTCACAGTGTGCAGCCCAGATACGGGGGTGCTCAGCTCTTGTGTGGCTTTGAGCCGGCCCTGAGGCCAGGCAGATAGGTGTACAGTTTTCCTGCCTTTATAGAGAGGACAGTAAGGCTCAGCAAAGTGAAAGGGACTTCCTCGCATTTCATAGCAAGATAATGGCATAGCTGGGGATGGAACTGAGGTCTGACCCTTGATGTGAGCCAGTTTCAGGCATCCAAGCAGGCTCAGAGTTTGTGCGGATGGCGGGAGCTGAGTAAAGGCAGATGTCCTTGTAGAAAAGTGAGTGTCTGGCCAGTGCCCTGCCCCTGCCCTGTCCCAGCAGGTAGCAATGCTCACAGGTCATGTTAAAAGGCTCTGCTTTTTAACCTCCATGTCTCCAGCCAAAACTCTCAGAGCAGAGTTGAGTGAACACGGTTTTCTGTCCCCAGAATTTTCCATTAGGGAACGTAAAATCCCAGACCTCCATAATTATTTAAACAACAATAATGCCTCCGTTTACACACCCTTACTTTGCCCTCCCCCTCTCCTCCCTGTCAGCGTTTGTTATCTGGTTATCCGGCAGCCGGGAGCGAGCACTAATGAGCAGAGACTTGTCCGCAGGAGCGGGTCTGTAGCCAGAGCACCTTCCCGCAGCCCCGGCCTCTCACCTCCCTCCCCTGCTCCTGCTGCCTGACCCAGGGCCACCAAGGTTCTCTTTCTCTGTTTTGTTTTGCAGATGTTTTGAGTTCATACAAGGTTATCCATCGCATCCTCAAAGGGAAAATCACTGGTGCTTTGAATTTGGAGGTAACTGCCCTGTTATCTCCTGTATCTTCTGTTTTCCCTCCCACCCCCTGAGGGTCTCAGCCACCAGCCCTGGTCTCGGCTTGGATACCACGTGCTCACCTGTCAGTCCCTTCAAGGAAACAAACTGGAGTTGCCCAAGGGGCTGGGTGGACTGGCTGGGGGCGGTCCTTCCTTCCCACTCAGATTTTCTTTCTCTTCCAGTCACACATCCTGAAGTTTGAAGAGTTTAAGTAACAAGGCTGCAGTCAGCATGTTCCATTGTCCTGTCTGGCTTCTGCCTGCCTTTTCACTCTTGAGGCCTTGGGGGTGAAAAAAGACCACACTTGGAGCCAGGATTGATTGGATTCCCATTTACCTTTACCACCGGCTCACCTCTCAATTTGTCCCATGTCTTCAGCCCCCCAGCTAGCTCATCGTGAACATTTGAACCAAATGTGGGAAGCCTGGAGGTCTGAGGTAGCCATTGTATTCTTTCCTGCCTCTTCTTTGTACCCCCAGAGCATAATATAAGTTGTCCTAACAGGTTCTGGAGAATGGAGGGCACACTGCTTAATTTTCCTGGCGTTCCGTTGTAGAATCAGGTAGGGAACTTGAAATGTTGAGCTGTCACCTTGGTGAATAAATGTTGGCATGCTTCATGAGTGTGGGGCGATTGATTCCTCTCGGGTCCAGCCACCCCTCCCCAGCTCTGCCCTCTGAAACTGATGCAGTGAGACTGGGAAGCTGCTGGGTGCCCTGCGCCGTGCTCAGCACCGACTGTGCGCTGTGCGAACCCCGCCTGGGATGTAGATGGGCACGTGTGCAAAGGGTGAAAGTTTTTGTTTCATTTCTCCTTGCTTTCTTGGTGGCGAGAACATTCGTTCAGGATGATGTCGTCTTGATTCTTTTTTTTTTAAAGCTGTGTAACGTCATTAGAAGCCTAACCTGAGGTCATAAAAGGGAGTGAGGTGTGGCCAGAAGAGTGGATTCTCGAGTTGGTGGCACACAGCCCACTGGAGCCAGTGCTTCCCTTACAGGTGGACAGTTCTTTACATAATTTGATTAGATCAAACTATTTAAATAATTTTATTTGTTTCATCCTTTGGTAGATGAGAAAAATACATCACAAAATACGTTATACAGAGGACAGCTCACAGTACACATGACTAAAAACAATCTGCATTCCAGCCAGGGCTGGTGGTAAGTTCAGAAGCCACAGAGGCCTTGAAAACCAGATTCCAGCTCTGTGACCTGAGTTTACCTCTGGGGGCCCCTCTTTACTTCAGCCTCAGTATAGATCAGCGCCCTGTATGGGGCGGGTGCAGACAGAGTCAGAGCAGCGTTGAGGGGAACTGGTGAACTCTGCATCCACCTGAAGCAGCAAGACACTAAGCTCTCTTGAAAGAAAAGGGGAAATGGCCAGTGTTAAAACTGCTGTGTCAAAGCATTACACAACTCCGGCATTCTCCAGGTTCCCAGACGGCTGTCGTAAACCTGGGCTAAGACAGTGTCTTCACTTCGCCATCCCTGGCATTTGTCACCATCCAGCCTGTAGGCAGAGTTGGTCCTCAGAAGCTGTCTCAGCCCCAAAGCAAGCTGATCTTTGACCAGGAGAGGTAGGCACCACGTGCCACATGTCACACCTGCACTTTCATTGAACAGGTGGGTAGGGCACCAACAGCTCCAAGCTCAGCAGACCCCCACCCTGCTCTCCCTGCAGCCGTTCCCAGAGTCGGGTGAGGATGCAGGTGTACAGAACAGCCACTTTGAAGCTATCCGTGTCCAGTAGGACCCACCTTAAGGGAGTGACATGAAAGAATCCTCAGTCCTCAAGCCGAATAGCTCACCTCAGAGCTCTGCCTGGCTTCTCTGACAAGATGAAGTGCAGGAAGAGACAGGAGCGGGAGCTAGCAGCCGTCACCCTTCAGTACTCGCTGGAAGCTGCTTCCCAGCAGGGAGGGGAGCCGTGAACTCGGGAGGGGCAGCTACTCAGCATGTTGCTGAGACCAGAAAGACCACGCACACGCCCCAGTCCCTGCTCAGTTCATTTCAAAGCAATTCTGTGAAGCAGCTGCTTAAGCCTCCTTCATTTTTCTTAGAAATTTGAAAACATCTGTGACTAGAAAAGTAGTCCTAAGAATTAAGGTCATCATTTCAGCCTGCCACACTGTGACGCAGGCCAGGCTCTGCATTCCAAGGGGTGCGAGCGCTCGTTGCTCCAGAGGCCTTCGGGAGAAAGCTAGGGGTGAGCCAGGCGTGGGCTGCAGCCCCACCTTCCTCTGGCTTTAGCAGTGAGCGGCAGCCTCTCTTCTCTACCAAAGCCACCGGTGGTCTTGGCGCTCCTCCCCCACCGCTCAAACAGTTCAGGGATGGGGTGGGGTGGGATATGGGAATAAAAATAAAGATGAGTCAAGACCAGCATCTTCAAATTAACAAACTGTAATTGTTTTCCCAAAGATACATTTTTTTTTCATACACATCCATCATACACTGTAACCAAAAAAAGCAGTGTACATGAAATAAGAGAAAATAAATTAAAAATCCATAGCATAGGTAAGGAGGCTCTAGTCTGGAGCACAGCTGAATTTCCAGCAATATAAGGAGGCTTGAAAGTTTCTTTTATAAGAATGCCTGCTAGCAAGGGTTCCAGCCAGGTGGTTGGTTGGTCTGTAAGTCAGTCTTGAGTACTTGAAACAGTTTGTTGTTTTTTTTTTTTGTTGGTTTTTTTTTTCCTTAGCGTTTAGAATAGCCATCATTGTCCTGCAATAGGCAGAGCTATCACGTCCAGGAAAAATAAGGGAGGGAACCACAGAGGCAGCGTGAGATCCAAATACAGCATTCAAAGGTAATTGGTCCAGTGGTGCCTGGGGAAGGAGGAAGGGGACGATGCTCCAGGGTTAGCCATCTTCCTTCGGGGGTGTGTACCAGCCTGCAAAGAAACCGAAGGAAACAGTCAGCGGGGTGGTGGAGGCTGATGTCTGCCCTCCCAGCCCCAATCACTGAAGCCGTCTCCAGGGTCAAAGGTGAAAAGATCCTAGGAAGGGCTTCCCGGTGCAGCAAGAAAAGGTAGGTGGGAACGTGAGAGTCTGCCTACCTGGAGATTATAAGGAAAGGGAGAGTGATGCGCCCAACCTGAGATGAAAGCAGAGTGAGATGAGCTTTCTCAGAGGTCGGTGGGGACGAGGGGCAGCACCAAGTCCACATGTGCTGTGCTTGCTGGTGCTTTACAGAAGGTGAGGTGGTAGACGTTAGCCTCCACCTCACTGACTGCTTTGGAGAACAGGGTCAGGTGCCATGTTAGTGGTAAAGGTTCAGAAACCAAAAGGGGTTCTTGCTGTTTGGGGTGAAAACCTCAGGCTTGGCTAGTGTCCGAATCTTGAGTCCTGGCTCCATTCTCACCGTTTTTTTCGTGGATCTGCACCAAGGACTTGTAGGACTGCTGTGCTCTTGTCAGACTGTATTGAGACTGAAGAGAGGAAGCCACCAAATCAATCCATGGCCCACTATGGTCTTGCTGCCACTCAGGAGTCCTAGCTCCCAGCACTGTGCTCTGCAGACACACTAAATACCCTCCACCAGGGAGGCCCCCTTGGGGCACAGCCCCTGGGCTTCCCCTCCAGACCTACCCCTTCCCCAAAGGCTTAGAATGCCCCTCAGGCCAAGGCCCTGCTCCTCTCTGACTTTGGGCGTCCAGGCCCACTCATCTAATGCTGCCAGCCCAGAGGTTTTATCCTCTCAGTCCCAAACAAGGCAGCCTTGGCCTGCTAGTGACCCAAACTATATTTGGCTCCAGGCAGTCCTACCAGCCCCAGGCTCCTTACTTTGTTGGCTCCAAACTGCACTCGTGCTTTTCCCTTCACCAGTGTGGCACTGATCTGCATGATCACTGACTCTATAGAGTAGGCACTGCTCCAGCCCTGAGTAACAGTGGGGAGAAAGCAAACACGTCAGTAGAATTTCCAGAGATGCCTTATGCTTGTTCTCTGGAGAACAGATGCACCTATAGAAGGGCCCCTGCCCAAGAGCACAGAAGGGCCACCTTATGCCCATCACCCAACCCACAGGGGTGTGTGTGGAGTAAAGCTCAGCCTAGCCCTGCCCAGGCCAGTCCGGCCAAGAGCAAGAGACAGGCTCACCTGCTTGGTGAGAAGTTCCATGCAGATGGCACCTCCACCTAGAACATACCTGCAGAAGAAAGGTTAGTCAGCTGTGCCTGGCAGAAGCTCCCCGCCCTTCCTCACCCTCTGCCCTTGCTGAGCCACTTACCCTCCAGAGAGGACTGGAGACACAACCCTGACAAATGGTGGGTCAAAGGGAAAGTTATCCTGAGGGAGAGACAGGCAACAATCAGGGAGGGGAGGCCAGTGCCCTTGGAGGACTGTAAGGTGGAGAAGGAAGCCCAGGCCAAGGAAGGAGGGACTGGAAAGGAAGGCCTTACTTTAAAAGAAAAGTTAAGTAGAATGAAGTCGGCTCCTTCTTTCTCTTTGAGGATCTGGAGATCGTTGTGCAAAGCGCTGTCCTGGTCAACTCTAGGAAGCAACGAGTGTGTGCTCAACCCTGGGTCCCAGCTCAGGAGCCTCACGAGCGCCCGCTCCCGGGACGGCCCCAGAGATGCCCACCACGGTGGCTCCCCGCACACTCCTCAGCTTCCTTCCCAGCCCCGGAGTCCCCACTCACTTGAGGAGTTTGACATTCCAATCATACAGACTGTCGTTCACGAGTTCGACTGCATAGTTTCCTGGAAGGAGGGAAGAAAGTAAGTGTTTTCAGAAAGGTCAAATGCTCCAAGTTCACCCCAAATGGACATGCATCCAATCTAAACCACTGGCATGAGGAGTCCCATCCTTGGCCTAAAAAAAGGCTCATAAGCACCCTTGTATCCCAAACCTCTTGGGGCCCACGGCCACCATCACGTCCTTTACGAGAGGCTCCTGTTCGGGGCCCTCTCTGAGGCAAACTCACCGCCTTTGAAACTCTGTGATCGGTATATATCCCTGAGCTCCTTCATCAGCCGGTCAGTAGCCTGCACCGAGCCAGACACCGCACCCTGCAAGGGAGGGAGGACAGGACACCTCACGGTCCTGTACTTGGAGACACCACACTAGGCCTTAGGGGCAGTCTGGCAGGATGCCCAGGGTTTATGCAAGGATGAGGCACACCCATAATCCACCCAAAAGAATTCTGCTCCTCAGACTGATCCTCAGTAGCCTACCGCCTTCCCAGCCTGTCCCCACCAACCTCTTGACCCAGCTTCCCCCTAGAGAGCACGTACATTTAAGTAATCTTGCCTCTGGTTCTTTTTAATTTTTTCTAGTATAGCCAAGTTTTCTTTTCCAATGCCATCATCTTCGGATTTCTTGCCCTCAGCTGGCTCTTCCTCTTTCATCTCATAGTGATCTAGGTCTTCTGTGTCCTGGGGGAGGTGTGGGGTGGGAGAGGGACAAAGGAAGAAAAAAACCAACACAAGTTGGGGAGAGGGGCCACCGCCTTTCCAGTCTTGTCTGGCCTAGAGCCACAAGTTAAGGAACAATCTAGCAGGCTAATGAGTTCGGTACCCTTCTAACTGCTGGAGAATTCCCAGCCCCACTCCCTCTACAACCTAAAGAATGAGGCAAATCTCTCCTCTTATTCAGCTGTCAAGCAGCAGAGCTCTGCAAAGGCCTAGGGAAAGCAAGGAGACACTCAGCTCTCTTGTTCCCCAGACTGACCCTGCTCCAACCATCCCTAAAGCTCTCCCTTGGCAGCAGAAACTCTTCCTTAATTCCTAGAATGACTTTGGCCTGACACTGCGACTCAAAGCTCATGTTTCATCAGGTGACTTTTGTACCCAGGAGTTCCCAGGACTCCAGGTCTAAAGGAGAAACTTGGATCAGAAATCTGCCCTCCAAGTGCAGGGCCTGAACCAGGTATGCAGAGGCACCCACTGCCAAGATGGAACTGAAGAAAGAGGTCCAGAAAGGCAGACAGCAGAGGGCAAGAACACAATCAACCACTGTTTGCCCTGCTCTAAGTGAGGAAGCAACTCACTGCATGGGAGAGGGGCCCATATCCAGGATTCAGCCCCTGTCAGACTTTGGAGGGCTGTCCACTGTCTGAGAGCCGAACATTCCATGTATCTCCCCAGCTCTATGTGCATCTTAAGACCCTAACAAAGTTACAGAACCTGGGGTGTTAATTCAGTGCAGAGAAACAAAGCGGTAAGAGTGATCTCGCTCTGGCAGGATGTGGTAATATTAACCTATTACATTAGTCGCTGACATCTACTGAACGTTTAATTACATGTCAGGAACCGTGTTAGATGCAATACACACTAGCTCATTTAATTCGTACAACCACCATGCCATTATTCTATCATTACCCCCATTTTATATATGAGAACGCTGAGGTCTAGTGAGGTTAATTATGACCAAAGTCATACAACTCTTAACAGAGCTAAGACGTGAATCAGATTCTATCTGGCTGAGGTTCAAGTTCTTAAACATTGTTGCAGTCTACAAAAGTATCTGTTTTTAGAAAATATAAGTTATTTAGCACTTATATACAGAATGAAACATTTTACACGCAATGCCTAATTTAATCTTAGAGACCTTATGTGATAGATACTATAGTCCCATTGTATAAATAAGGAAACTGCAGCTTAGTAAGAGTATGTAAAATTCCCTAATTAAGACAGCCAGGAGGTAGGGAATACAAACTGAGGTCTGATCACAAAGCCATCTGAGGTGAACTTCCTGACTAGTGTAAACAGATTTGCATTTAACTGCATTCAGAGGTTGGATGGGGGTGCCCTGTCTACTCTACTACACTGCTGTTCCTCCTGGTCAGTAAATTCGTCTTTATTTCTTGGGTGTTTTCTCCCCCCACTTCTAGACTGGACCTCTGTACATAGCTGGTGCTCGACAGTGCTGACTGAAAGAGCCTCCTACCAGTGTTGCCTCGGGTGGAAGCCTACCTCAGGCATCTCTTCATCCTCATCTTCCGAAGACACATCCTCCTGTGTGCACTGCAGTGCGGAGGGGAGAGATGGAGATCAGACCCCAGTGGCTTCCTAGAACACAGTCTATGCCTATTCCCTGGAGTCTCCAGGGCTGGAAGCTGTGTGCCTGCCCATAATGCCACCAGCCTCCCCTACAGCCAGAACTGCGTGGAAGCAACAGCCCAGGGCATGACGTCACTACCGGCCCATTCTTCTCCCACTATATGCCCAATAAAAAAGCAGCACAATGGCTGTTTCTGTCACCTAACTTACAAATCCCAGTTCTAATTTCCCCAAGGACCCCTCCTTTACTCAGTCATCTCTAGACTGATACTGCATTCTTGGTTCTTAACGAGTGGCCTTTGGTCCTCAATGATCACCAACTGCTGCCTAAATGGTAAAAGCTGCTTATGGTAAAAATCCACGTCCCCAACCCACCATGAGGGATGATACTGCCCGTAAAAGTGAGTTTTGATAGGAGAGGTGAAGCTACTAATGCCCTTTTAGCTCAGTTCCCACCTGGAGAAGAGGCCAAGGGTCCCGATACATGTTTGTGTTTGGAGTAGGTACAGCTGGAGAGAAACTATGCAGGTTCATCTCAATTAACACGTATTTATCGAGTGCTGTCTGTGACGCAGCTGTACCACAGGGCCCAGTGCTCCTCAGTGGCTCACCTGCTCTGCTGGCAAGGGTTGATCCAGCATCTCTACATCTGGATGCTGAGGGAGGTTATAGAGTTTACACAGGTCGGAGATGATCCTCTTCAGATGCTGCAATAGCTGGGGGTAGGGGACCACAGCAACATCAAATACTCCTTCCTCACCCCAGTCTGGACAGGTACATGCGTGAGCTCTCAGCTCAGACCTCAAATTGGTACCTAGTTCTCTAAAACTCACAGACCCTGTGGCTGTGGGGAGTTTACTGGATTAACCCTGGGACTGGTGCAGGGCTCCCCTTCTGGCTTTAGGAAGCAACTCCCTCCCCTCAGACATCTGACCCCAATGTTTAGGCAACTGCACTATCCCCTCCCCAGACACACCTTGCACAGAGTATCTTCATGATATTGGTCCCACAGGAAGGAAGTGCACCCCCACCCCAACGCCCTGGCCCCCTCACCAGAGTATTCCCTTTCTTTATGTCCACCAGCCTCTCCAGGACAGCAGCCAAGTTAGGGTCATCGGACTCCACTGACCAGATGGGGGGCACAGCAGGGTACGACTCCTGAGGGGAAAAGAGCAAGGAGAGCAGTCAAGATGGGAGACTCTGCGGAAAGCTAGATTCTGCCTGCCTTCCACTCCCCAAGACTTTTCGTCCCCCTGCTCTCCCCCCGCCCCTGCCCTAACACACACACATTAAAGCCCAGCCCAGCAGGTCCGTACCTAACCAAGCAGCAGCTTACCGACAAACCCCAGACCAGGAGAAAAAGTCCTTGAGAAGACCCTTCCCAAGAAGCCTGGTCCCTTTTCTTTCTTTCCTTAAGAGTAAACATCAGAGAAAGGCAGCCCAGCCAAACTCTGCTAACAGTGAGGGAGGCTTCCTAGCCACCGCGCTGCCTATACAAGTTCCAGACTTGGAGCTCTCCCACACCCAGCAGTCCTCCAACCCTTCTGTTTCCGAAACTCCATAGTCAGTTGAGGAAGGGATCACCTCATTACAATCACACTGACGTGAAAAAAGCAGAGACTGCAGATTACTTTCATTTTAGCTGAGGAAGGAGGGATTAAAAACTTGATTATGTCTCAGACCTAAAAGCAAAAGGGTAGAAAGAGGGATCTTCCCAGCCGACTCCCAACAGAACCCCTCTAAGGCCAGTTCTGCCCACCTCTCCCTTGGGAACCTGCCACCCTCTCAGTCCAGGCGTAGGCTGCGGGGCTCCACATGGCAGGCTGGGAGAAAGAAGCCTACGCTGCTAACATTCCCAGCATTCCTGAGCCACAGTGCCAAATGCAGCCTGACCAGACGCCCCCTCTGCCCAAACCAAGGGGGCCAGTTCAGGCCAAGTCTCCTTTATAGGGGCAAAGGGAGTCTGACTGAGAACCTTCTCAACTAACTTCCTTCTAGGGACAAAGACAGTAGATGGCCTCTGGCAACTGGGAGGGCAGTTGGAAGGGGGGAAACCTACCCTTAAGGAAATGGAAGCATAATTCAGGTATAAAATTAACTCCTGAAGTTTCCACATGTGCCAAGGAAACCTCATCCATGTCTGTTGGGGGTCTTAGCTCTGCCATGGCTCTCATCCTTGATGCCGGAAGAAAACAAATGATCAAAGATGCTTGTCTTCAGCTGACTAAACCACACCTTGTCCTTCTAATCTTAACTTTTTAATAGGAAAAAAGGTGGAAGAGGGAAATGGAAGGAGAGAGAAAAAATGGGACACATGAGTTCTGGGGAGGCATCATCCAACCCAAGCTCAGGCTTGCCTCAACAAACCTTGACCTCGTTTGATGGAAGAAAAGGATAAAAAACAAGAACCATGTAAACTGAATCCAGGTCTCCAAGTGCCACACAATTCACAAGTCAGTCCCCAACCCCCACCACTCCCATTTGCAGTCTGCCTGCCTGGGTAAAGTACTGTCCCCTGACTCCCTAACCAAGGCTCCCAGCAGGGAGAATGCTACCACACCAGGTGGTATAAACCACTGTAAGTACTATATACCATGCACTATCAGGCATTCCCAGAGTATCAGAGGCCAACCCTCTTCACAGGATGTTTGAGGATAAACTAGGCAGGAGACATGTAAGGTGTCTCCTGGTCTAGCATGCCTAGGACAGGAAGATGTTCACTGGGGAGAAAAGGAGCTGTTACTGCTCAGAATAAATGAAATAGCCCTCACACATCACCATCATTATCAGGAAAGGCAACAACCCCGGGCAACTGGAGATATCCACAGGGAACAGGAGGGGAGTGGCAGCTACCAGTTGAGGCAAAAGGAGGAGAGTTGGAGGTTACAACAGAATAAAAGAGAATCCAAAGGAGGGGAAGAAGTCAGTGAACTGCAAACTATCACTTGGTAAAATTGAGAGCAAAGAAGGGCTGAATGACAGAGGCCTGGATGGGGATCCCACAGGTGGCAACGTCCTAAATCAAAGGTACTGAGAGACGGGGGCATCACTGAAACCTGCAGAGTTCCAAGCCAGGTCCTTCCAGCTGAGGCCAGTGCAGAGGCCTGGAACCCTGAGATGAAAGTGGAAGAAAGGGGCATTCCTAGGTGGCAAGATAAAGTCGTGAAGTAGCCAAAATCATGAACCCTGAGCTGTAGGTGGGTTAGTGGAAAGGGGTAATCGAGGCGCCATATGTCGGGAGGTCCCTCACTATGAAGGGCAGAGATTCTGGGTGCACAGCAGAACCTCAAGCAACAGAAACAAGTGTAACCTGGAGAAAAGGGGTCGAACCCTGAGAGGGGATTTGGCCTCCTAGGTCTTTCGAGAGCAAAAAGCTGAGTGGGGTGATCCTGAGTCCCTGACAAGAGGCCCCCAGAGACGCGCACGCGACGGGGTCCTCACCGTGATGTTGCAGTGGATACGAACGGGATCCCCTGGCACTGACCCCCGTGGGGGGAGATGCGGTCCGGGCGCGGCCCCCGCCCCGGCCCCTCCGGCCCCAGCCAGCAGGAACTCGCAGCTCAGCTCGTCCAGGCAGGCGCTGGCAATGCGGAAGCGCTCGTGGCC